CAGCTACAGTCCGCCGCCGGCCACATCGATCTTCTCTACGTTCTTCTCGGTTTCGCGCATCCATGCAACCGCCCCCCGTCCGGAATCCATCGTTCTTATCGTCGTGGTCGGTCGTCTGGTTATATATTTTGGGCTCTCTTGAACCTTAGAGTTATTCTCATCGATCCAAGTTCTTTGTTGCCTGTTGGGCCGGATCTATGAATTGCCTCTTTATACGATTTCAGTGCACTTAATTAAACTACACTAATTAACAAGTAAATCAAGCTAACGAACTAAAGCATAATTCCAAACTCAAGTTCAATCATGAGGAAAGGGTTGCTCAGGTTCGAATACCCCCTAGCTAGTTATTAATTAAGATCGACCATGCACAACGTAGTACCGATCGATGTTGTTTTCTTGATCGAAGAAATTCTTATACTAGTGTTAACCCATTTTTCTCATGTATTAACACTCTATCGATCAATTGGTTAAGGCTCGCGATATTCTCATTGCCCTAAAGCTAACGAATTGATGCATTTAAATCGATCCATGAACTCCGTATTAACTTTAGTTTCGTCCTAAATTGTAGGTTTTTACATGGTTTATATTATAGCGACCCAATTAATCTCTTATGTCCTTAAGTGCTTTTGTAGGTCTTACATGGTTTCTACTTCAATTGAATATTGAGAAGATAAAATAAGAATATATCAAAGAAATCAAATATCAAGAGCTGTATTGTATTCAGTCGATATCCTAAAACATGGCTACGCTTCATCTTATTCAAACAATAAAGGAGTTTAATTCATCGTAAAGGAATAGAAATCAAACTAATAGAGAAATTATTCCAACAACCGATAGAATTCCATAAGAAACGATTCTGGGAAACAATAACAAAAATTTATTTAAAATGATTCCACGGATTTCAACTAATTTTTAATATGTTCGTGTTATCAACTTTTGTTATGGATTTCATCAGTCATGGATTTCACACATGGAAACATGAAACAGAAATGGAAAATAATACTAAATAGGGTGTTAGATGTAGAACAAATAGTCATACAAAACAACTCAACACCTATACGAATTTATTTCCTAATATCCCAACAAAAACTCATCCACTCTTGTTATTTCCAACCATGGTTTTCATGTCAGAAGCATGTTTTATTAAAACCAACATGAACGAATTTTGATATTTAAACAAAATGATGTCATTCTGGTAAATCTAATTGATAAAAGATAATTTTTGCTTTGTTGCTTGAATTGAAAGTCAAATGCTAAATGTTATTTGTTGGATTAATGATGAATGTTTAGATGTATATATTGTTTGTTGGATTCAAGTATAAGTTTTTGGATATTGGTGTTAAATATTGAGTTACATATAAATTTTTTTCATTTTGTTGTAATGTTATATTTTCTTAAAATATGAATGTAAATTTTAGAGATATTGTCTTAAAATATGTGCTTAAAGTCATTTAGTGTTAATGATTTCTCACTTTCCTATATATTTTGTTAAATCAAAATGAACTTACATAAATCAATTATACCACTGGTCGGACTATACCACCTGCCAAATTAGCATAATGGAATTTTAGGGTTTGTTTGGAAGATGCGAATGTTAAATCATTGGATTGTAATGAATCACTTTAATATAAATACATGCGTTGATACAATAGATACATTTTGACAATACATTGTTTGGTTGTCCATATTCCAGTTTATGTATTGGTTTGCATAAAGTTACTTCACGGGAAAATGTCACGATTACCCTCAACTTTTAGTATAAGACAAAAACTATCAGAGATATAGCAAGAAAAAAGTAGACACAAATCTAAAACCAACAATCTCAACTTATAGTTGAGATTGTATGATGCATAATTTTTTGTGATTGTTGGTGATACTTACATTTTGCAAGTTGATACTTCCAAATAATATTGTACACACTACATATATTCAATAAACGCAATTCGAACAATTACCACTTCCAAAAGAGATCTTAATTCCAACTAAGTGGAAGTACAAGAGTTGCGTTTTAGTAATTGTAAAAAAAATGAGGGGTAAATACAATTTAATATCCAAACCTTTCAATTTAAACAATATAATAGCCAAACCTTTTCGAAAAAAATCTAATATCCAAATCGTCAACTTTCCGTTCGTTTGATCGTTAGTTGACACTTCAAAAAAGCTTTGTTTAGAGGAAATTGTCGCAATACAACTGTGTTTCTTGTTTTGGCATTGCAGATGACTGAATATTTAGATATTCTATACCATCATGGTGGAGTCATGGACTTCTCGGGTTTGGAGCTACGATATGTTGGTGGTTTTTCAGAAAAGATATCGATGGATATTGATGAAGTGTCGTACTTCGAACTTTTTTGAAGTGTCAACTAACGGTCAAACAGACAGAAAGTTGACGATTTGGATATTAGATTGTTTTCGAAAAGGTTTGACTATTATATTGTTTAAAATAAAAGATTTGGATATTAAATTTTATTTACCCAAAATGAGTTACGCTTTAGTCCGACGCTAGTCCTTATTTCTTTCCCATCCCGCTCTGGCTCTAGGAAGCAGGATTTTCTCCTTTCCCGCGTTTTCTCGCTCGACGGAGGGCCAGTTGCAGTACTGTATCTGTTCCTGTTGCAATTGGGAGGCGGCAACTGAGCAAGGCACGAATCATGGAGCAATGGGTTCCGCTCTTCGACATTTTCCTCAACTCCCCAACTCCAGAGATCGAAGCTTCTCTATGGCTTCACCGATCTTTCAACGTTTCTTCCACCCTCCCAATCTCCGCCGCCTCCTTCCTCTCTTTACTCACTCAACCTGTCGACTCCGTCGCTGGTGAATCTGACTCCTCGCCTCCCCAGATTGGGTTGATGGAGGCAGTTGAAATTGGTGGGGGAAAATAGGTGGGTTTGAGTCTTTTAGTCACTGGATTTCCAATTTTAATTACCTAAACTTGGGAATCGATCGATCGTTGCAAGGTTGATGGCTGCTGCTGCTGATATTTTCCTTCCCGAACCTTGTAAATGGAAGGCGCAAAGTGCTTTGGACCATACAATTACAAGTACAGTGTTCAGATATGTCCTTGTGGATTGGTGAATTAATTTTGATTGTGAAGGTGATAAGTGTGTTCATGGTTGGTCCCAGCGGTGGTGGTACATTTATGATGATGATGATGCCATGGCAAATTGGCAAAACCCAAATATCTTCTCCCATCTTTTTCTGCCAGCCACAATTCTTCTGGTTGAAGGGATCATGGGCTTAGATTGGGCCTTTATTTGGGAGATGAATTTTTGAGTGAGGTGGGACTCAATCCAATTTGTCACCTCACGAAAAATCACCCTTCATCACAATTTGATTTGATCTGATTCACGTTGGCACATGCTCATTATGGTACAATTCATATTTGTGTGTATCAATTATCAAATCACCCCTGTCATCAATCGTGGTGGTCAGGTTTTTTTTACTTTAGATTCAATAAACGTCTACTCATCGTTAAAGAATGATTAGCAACTATCTGTTAGAAAATGATTAGCAACTGTCACGAGCGGTTCGATGTTTCGTACCAGGAAAAAAAAAACTCATTTGGCATTCGGCTTGTCTGTTAATGAGTCGAGTTTGAATTCAGTAGTAGTTTAACTCGCAAGATTTACGAGCCAGTTCGACTCAATGACCTGTTGAGATAAACTCGTGGGCTACCTCGTGTTCAGTTCGTGAGTTGGGTCGATAGAGTGGCCACCGATCTAGTTCGACCAATGATTTATGAGCGATTCGAACTATAGCTTATGAGTTGAGCAAATATGATACTAATAGAGTATATAAACATGAGATGAATTGTTTCATTCATTGAGTATATAAATTAAGGTATTTAATTTACAAATTAGTTCAGAGTTTAGTTTTTGTTAAGGTAAACTCGCGAGCTAGCTCTTTTTAAGTTCGTGAGTTGGCTTGACAAAGTGGTCAGGGACCCAGCTCGACTAACAATTTATGAGCGATTCGAACTATAACTTATGAGTTGACAGAATATGATACCAATAGAATATATAAACATGGGATGAATTGTGTCATTCATTGACTATTATTCTTTTTCATCATGTCATTTCATATGTATCCTATAGGGTAAATGTCAAGTTTGGTCATTGGGTTTACGTTTACTAAAATGTGTCATGTTTAGTCACTGAAAAAAAATAATATCAATTTTGGTCACTCGAATTAGTAAAATGGTCCACGTTTAGTCACTCTCCGTAAACTTTATCTGATGTGGCAATCAATTCTAAAATAGACTACAAAACTCATCAACCTTGCCACAAATTTCATGAAGCATATCGGAAAAGACGAAAAATCATACTAGATACCTCATATGATGACTACAAATTTTCGAAAGCATATCATAAAGCTCATAAAATAGATAAAAATATATGTGAAACCACATGTAACTCTCATGAAGCATGCCAGAGAACACACCAGAACCAACTCTCCTTGTTTCTTGTTTGGAATTATGTCAACAGTCGCTTGAGGAGCAATCAAAACTAAAGTTTGGTGGTACGAAAGGCTCCGGCGGACGGACGCTCTTCCGTGGCGGAAGATTGCTTTGAGGAAAATTGTTACGAGTGGATCATGTGAAGGACAAGTTTTTTTTGGTTCAGAAACTGAAATTGCAAGAGAGAGATGGAGGAAAATATGTGATGGGAATTGGGAACTAGCTTTAAGATTATTGTAATACGGTCTTAAGACCTAGATATCGTTAGCACCATGTCAGGTTACAACCAAACTAAGCACTAAATAGCTACTTTATAGTGAATACTGTTTATTCACTAATGTTTTTTGTTGATCATATAATAATAGAAACATATATAGATGGTTTGTGTACTACTGCAACACTTACACGGTCGCCGCATGCACAGGCCAAATTCACATGCCTGATCACTCGCGGTTTACACGTGTTCAATTTTAACGATCCTCAGTAACTTCATAGTAGAAGGCTAGCTGGTCCCCGCCAGATTCTTTCGTCTCCTCAATTTGCCTCACTTACACTCTCAGTATATATCCCCACCGCACCACCGCTATCTTCTCCATCATCTCTCTCTTCTACTTTAAGCCAGTTTCCTTTTTTACAGAAGAAGAGGCAAAAGCTCCATTGCTTCCTCCTCCGCAGACAGCAATGGATGCCTTATCTTCCTCCTTCCTCTCATCAACCACACTCCTCTCCCCTCCTCCTTCCCCCCGCTCCCACTTACTTTCCCCTTCTCCTCTCCACATTTCCTCCCTCAAAACAGAACCAACGACCTCCTCCGATGCCGTCAAAACGTCACCACCGCAGCCCTCTAAAAACCCTACAAATTCCCCCACCACCCGGTCATCGCCGCCGCCGCCGCCGCAGCGACGATCAATTCGCGTGAGGCAGCAGCCTTCCATGCCTTCCCTCATGTTCAACGCCGTCGACGACTTCATCAACACCTTCGTCGACCCTCCCCACAAGCCCGCCACCGACCCGCGATTCGTCCTCTCCGGCAACTTCTCCCCCGTCGACGAGCTCCCTCCCACCGAATGCCACGTCATCCACGGCTCCCTCCCTCCTTGCCTAGACGGGGCCTACATCCGCAATGGGCCCAACCCACAGTACCTCCCTCGTGGGCCCTACCACTTGTTCGACGGGGACGGCATGCTCCACGCGCTCACCATCTCACGCGGCCGCGCCACGCTCGCCAGCCGGTACGTCAAGACCTACAAGTATTTAAAAGAACGCGCCGCCGGGGCCCCGCTCCTTCCGAACGTCTTCTCCGGATTCAACGGCCTCACAGCTTCGGCAGCGCGTGGGGCTCTGTCCGCCGCGAGGATAGCTACCGGACAGTTCAATCCGGTTAACGGCATCGGCAACGCCAATACCAGCCTGGCATTCTTCGGCGACCGTCTTTTCGCTTTGGGAGAGTCGGATCTGCCTTACGCCGTCAGATTGACGGAGAATGGCGATTTAGTGACCGTCGGCCGTCACGATTTCGACGGGAAATTGGGGATGAGCATGACGGCGCACCCGAAGACAGATCTACAGACAGGGGAGACGTTCGCGTTTCGGTACGGCCCCGTGCCGCCGTTTCTCACCTACTTCCGATTCGATTCGGAGGGGAAGAAGCAGCCGGACGTTCCGATTTTTTCAATGGTGAGCCCGTCTTTCCTCCACGACTTCGCGATCACGAAGAAGTACGCCCTGTTTGCGGAGATTCAGATCGGGATGAACCCGATGGATATGATTTTCCGGGGCGGGTCGCCCGTTGGGGCCGACCCGAATAAGGTGCCCCGGGTCGGGGTGATTCCGCGGTACGCGACGGACGAGTCGGAGATGAAGTGGTTCGATGTGACCGGGTTCAACCCGATCCACGCGATCAACGCGTGGGAGGAGGACGGCGGGGACACGGTGGTGCTGGTGGCGCCGAACATCATGTCGGTGGAGCACACGATGGAGAGGTTGGAGCTGATCCACGCGCAGGTGGAGAAGGTTAGGATCGATTTGAAAACGGGGACGGTTAATCGGGTCCCGGTTTCGACCCGAAATTTGGATTTCGGGGTGGTTAACCCGGGTTACTTGGGGAGGAAGAACCGGTTCGTCTACGCCGGTGTCGGGGACCCGATGCCGAAGATCTCGGGGGTGGTGAAGCTTGACGTTGGGGACGAGATGGGGAGGAACAGGAAAGAGAGCACGGTGGCTTGCAGGATGTTCGGGCCGGGTTGCTTCGCAGGGGAGCCGTTTTTCGTAGCGAAGGACCCGGAGAATTCGAAGGCGGCGGAGGACGACGGGTACGTGGTGACGTACGTTCACGACGAGATAAAGGGGGAATCGAGGTTTTTGGTGATGGATGCTCAGTCGCCGGAGCTTGAGATTGTGGCGGCGGTGAGGCTGCCGCGGCGGGTTCCGTACGGATTCCATGGGCTGTTTGTGAGGGAGAGCGACCTCCGAAAGGTAAGGTAAAGGTGTGCCGAGTGAAAAAGAGTAAATTCAGAATGTGAAGGGATAATTACTGCTAGCTACGTAGATACTGTAATAGTAGTTGTCATTATCGAGTATACTGTACATCTGTATATATGTTATATGTGAAATTTAGGTACATCTCACACATAATGTGAAATTTGAGTAGAAATGTTATGTTTGGGCGGAAGAAAAAAAACATGATAATTGAGATATGCTATACTTCAAATATTAGGAGTACTGTAGGGGTCAGTACTATTTCTGAAATACAATGATATTGTGTTTTTTTCTAATTTCCAATGGTTCTCTGTATTTTCATACAAATTAAAAAAATACATTTGTTTTCCAACGTTGGTGAAGACTTTCTCTAATCGTATCTCCTTGAATTTCCACCGGTCTTATCCTTGTACTTTGTTGTTAGCTCTTTAATGCCTATCAATAAGTCTAAAATGTTGTGTCTTTTTATTCATTTCTCAAATATTAGTAGACGAACCGGACACGCTAATTATCATAGTCATCCTCAATATCCTCATGCTTTCATTTGTCATTTACATCGTTGTTCACAAGACATTTCAATCTTCAATTTATGTTTTCTTAGAGTTGGAAAACGAGAAGGTTAGTTTTGTTTTTATAATAAGAGAAGAGCAAATGGGTGTTTAACTAATTTAGTGCGGAAATAACAAAATACCATACTTTTTAAACCCTTTCTAAGTATCATATTTGATGAAATATCACATGCAAAATGTTCTAACATGGCAAAACATGGTAATTTTCAACAAATATTACTACATTTACCCAAAATGCCTTCCAAATCAAGCATAAATTTTCCTCTTTTTCACATATACTCCAATAAAGTATATTCTAGTGATGATAAACACTGCATTTCGAACACAAAAATTCATACATATTAAACTCATGTTGGGCTCCACCCTTTCACTTCTTAGCCTTTGGGCTCTGGAACAATTACGCGTTGGCTTCGACTCCTGAATTGCTGTATAACTTTTTGGAGGCCGATGGCAGTAATGGGCCTTAAGCCCGCTGAGAAAATGAATGAAGAATGATGCACGTGCTGTCGTGCTCCCAAGTCCCATATGGCATATGCAGTGCAAGAAAAGAACTCAATGTGCTCCATCTCAAAAACATCCACATTTACGTGGTAATGAAAATACAATTGTATTGATGGAAGTATCAATTGACCAATTAACTACCGATCCACAGTAACCAACCACTTACACTAAAACAGTAAACCACGTGTCCCTGATTGTAACTAGTTACATTGATGTGAGACTTGGGACAAAACTACCTCCTATTATTAATAAAATGCGTTGATCAATGAAAATGATGGCGTTCTAAGAAGTCTATTTTTGCTTTCCAGATTCAGACAAAACACCACCATTTCAACACATATTAATATCAATGGTCATTGAAATTCCAGATTGATTTGTTGTTTCACCGCCACTATTTATAACTAGCATTCTGCAACCTTTAAACAAATTACTAACCAGTTCCATCTTGATTGTACTTTCGGAATTCCAAAGTTCCGAAGAACTATCCGTCGCCACCACCATGTATTGTTTCTTTCCATTCCCTGCCCAATTTCAGTTCAGTTGGTGAACATATGATGACCTGTCCTCCTCCCTCCTCTCCGATCCCACATAAGCAGTCTTAGTTAGCTAGAACGTACACGCTACTGCCCAACAATTGCTTTCTATGTAGTCTTATATAGGCAACCATCCTTAATTTGCTTATTTCTTGCGTTCAAGTCACTTCAGCTGCTGCCGATGATAACAATGGCGGCCGCCTTATCATCTTCCTTCCTCACCTCCACCCCAATCCTTCTCTCCCACAATTTACCGTCAATCAACAGAAGCACCAGATCACGAGTTCAGGCGGCTGCGCCGCCGCACCACCATCACCGCTCCCTAACTTCTCTAGCTCTAACTGCCGCCGACGACTTCATCAATACCGTCATCGACCCTCCCGGCCCCCACTGCCCTTCCACCGACCCCGCCTCCGTTCTCTCCGGCAACTTCTCGCCCGTCGACGAGCTCCCGCCGACTGAATGCCACGTCATCCACGGCTCCCTCCCTCCTTGCCTCGACGGGGCCTACATCCGCAACGGGCCCAACCCACAATTCCACCCTCGTGGGCCCTACCACTTATTCGACGGGGATGGAATGCTCCACGCGCTCGCCATCTCACGCGCCCGCCCTCCCACTCTCTGCAGCCGCTATGTCAAGACCTACAAGTATTTGACGGAGAAGGCAGCCGGAGCTCCACTCGTCCCCAATGTCTTCTCCGCCTTCAACCGATTACCCGCCGCCGTCGCCCGCGCTGTATTAACCGCCGTCAGAGTCGCTCTCGGTCAGTTCAATCCGGCTAAGGGAATCGGCCTCGCCAACACCAATCTCGCCTTCTTCGGCGGCCGCCTCTTCGCTCTCGGGGAATCCGATCTCCCTTACGCCGTCAGATTGACGGAGGACGGCGACGTGGAGACGATCGGCCGCCACGATTTCGACGGGAGGCTGGGGGTGAGCATGACGGCGCATCCGAAGATAGATCTGCAGACCGGGGAGACATTCGCGTTTCGGTACGGCCCTAGGTCGCCGTGCCTCACCTACTTCCGATTCGACGCCGAGGGTAGAAAGCAAGCCGACGTACCGATTCCCTCATTCAGCCGAAAAACGCCTTTCCTCCACGATTTCGCGATTACGAAGAAGTACGCCATGTTCGTGGAGACACAAATCGTAATGGACCCGGTGGATTGGGCTTTCCGGGGCGGGTCGCTGATCAGATCTGACCCGAATAAGGTGCCTCGGGTCGGGGTGATCCCGAGGTACGCGACGGACGGGTCGGAGATGAAGTGGTTCGATGTGGCCGGGTTCAACCCGGTCCACGCGATCAACGCGTGGGACGAGGAGGACGGCGATGGCATAGTTATGCTAGTTTCAAACGTTATGTGTGTGGAGGACGCGCTGGAGAGTTTGGAGCTTGTCCAGGCGCGAGTGGAGAAGTTGAGGATCGATTTGAAAACGGGGACTGTTAATCGGGTCCCGGTTTCGACCCGGAATCTGGATTTTGGGGTGGTGAACCCGGGTTACGTGGGGAGGAAGAACCGGTTCATCTACGCCGGGGTCGGGGACCCGATGCCGAAGATCTCGGGGGTGGTGAAGCTTGACGTTGGGGATGATGAGATGGGGCGGGCGGAGGAAGAGAGGACGGTGGCTTGCAGGATGTTCGGGCCGGGTTGCTTCGCCGGAGAGCCGTTTTTTGTGGCGAAGGACCCGGAGAATCCGGAGGCGGAGGAAGACGAGGGGTACGTGGTGACATACGTTCACGACGAGATAAATGGGGAGTCAAGGTTTTTGGTGATGGATGCACAGTCGCCGGAGCTTGAGATTGTGGCGGCGGTAAGACTGCCGCGGCGGGTTCCTTATGGATTCCACGGGTTGTTTGTAAGGGAGAGTGACCTTCGAAAGGCAAGGTAAAGGTGCTAAAGGGGAGATGGTAAACTCACGGACCAAGTAAAGGATCATATTCTTTGTAATTTTCACTCTAACTCCAACGAGGTTAAACTCGAGTCGAATGTAAAGTAAAGATACTTAATAATTGGTTGGATAAATAAAGGAGATTCTAAATTAATTGCTGAAGCGTTTAACTCCACTAATTCTCTTGTACGCAGCTCGGTTCCGGGACCATTAATAATTTTTTATTTTTGTGCGGGCTTTTTTAGGCCCTTAAATAATATCCTGGTATAGTTTTTAGAGGTTGATGGCTGTTACTGAAGGGTGTCCTAGGCCCGCTGAGAGAAAAAAAATGAACAATGATGGCCATTGTATCAGGCCCAACTCCCGTCTCGGATGATCGGTTGATTCTTGTATAATATAAGAACATGCACAGATAGATAACAATGGGTTGGGTTGGTTAAGGTTTTGTCAAACCCAAAACAAATTTCGTAGGTTTATTCGTGAAAAAAAATTCGAGGTAAAATTCATTGGACTTGAAAAACTCAAACCTAACCCATCCCGCTAGGTATCTGCAGGTTCATGGGTATCCATGGGTTTTTGTCGTAACAAATTTACAATAACAAGTTCCTATCAAAATAAAAGTCAAATATCAATATCTCAATACAAATAATCCATATATAAACCACCATTCTAGAAAATTCAAGTAATCATAAATTAACCATACAAATTGTTCAACACCAATCTAGAAAACTCAAGAAAATTGAAGCAAATCACAAATTATAGATAAACAATATGATTAATTGAAGGCTTCTTACTCCTTGTCAATTAAGCTTCTTCACTCTCCACTCATAATATCAACTTAATTCTACACAATTAGAAAGAAAAAATTAGACATGTCTCAGTTATAAACGCGCTGCTACGGATCGGAAAATCGCCGGAATCGACAAAGCAAGAATACGAAAGCGAGAATCGAAAAACACAGACACACGATTTACGTGGTTCACTAACACGATGTGTGTTAGCTAGTCCACGGGCGAGAGAGAGCCAGTTTCACTATATTGAGGAGATGACAGATTACAGAGGAGTATGAGAAGTATTTATAGTACCTCTCCATGTGGGTCTAAACCTAATCCAATCTGGCAAAGGAAACGGTTACAGACCAGGCCCAGAACCCGAACCCAAGTAACAGCGAGACCCCCGATTACCAGTCGTAGCGGCTGATAGTCCGATTCAAGTCATATCAACAAATCTCCACCTTGACTTGAATCCTCTTCCTCTGAAATCTCTTATGTACTATGCTCCTTCTCTCTCTCCCGCCATCAATGCCCCGTAGGGCGGAGTCACCCACTCAAGACATTCAGCAAGTCCAAGCAGTGTTGGAACTTGCCATGTGAAACCGGCTTCGTGAACATATCATCAGGATTATCAACGATGCCAACCTTCTTCACCTTAATCCTCTTCTCTGTCCTCAAGAAATGATACCTCACATCGATGTGCTTAGTCCTCTCATGGTGGACTTGATCCTTGGCCAAGCATATTGCACTCAAACTGTCGCAATACACCACTGCCTGATCATGATGTAGACCCAGATCACCAACCAGTCCCTTCAACCATATTCCCTCCTTAGCAGCTTCTGTCCACGCCATATACTCTGCCTCAGTAGTAGACAATGTCACCGCCGACTGTAGAGTTGCCTTCCAGCTCACTACAGAACTCCTAAGAGTGAATACATAACCGGTCATCGATCTCCTCGTGTCAACATCTCCAGCATAGTCCGAGTCAGAATACCCAGACACCAAGCACTCTGTATCACTTCCGAAGCTAATCCCCACATCAGGTGTACCCTTAAGGTACTGGAAGATCCTCTTCACAGCCTGCCAATGTTCATTCCCAGGTTGTATCATAAACCTGCTGACAACACTAACAGCATGTGCAAGATCAGGTCTAGTGCATACCATAGCGTACATCAAGCTATCTACTGCACTAGCATATGGGACTCTCGACATGTACTCCTTCTCAGCCTCTGACTGCGGTGCATAAGCTGAGGATAGATGAACATTTGAAGCACTAGGAGATTAGTTGTTTAGAATATTAAATATACCGTGAAAAATAATTATATGGGTGCAGGCGGGTACCCGCGATTACCAGTCGTAGCGGCTGATAGTCCGATTCAAGTCATATCAACAGTCTCCATAAACATAAAGAAGATTAGTTGTTTAGAATATTAAATATACCGTGAAAAATAATTATATGGGTGCAGGCGGGTACCCATGAGGCGGATTTTCCTAAAACCAACCCAACCCAACCCGGTGGATAATGAACAAGTTTAAACTCGAACCCGGCCCAAAAACCATCAACACGAATTTTACATGTGTTGACCGGGTTAGGTCGGATAGGATACCCGTGAGTTTGGATTTTGTTGTCCTATGCACAGACTAATCAGCTTGAGCCCTTGAAGTGTAATGGACTTTCTGATTATTTATTTATTTATTTATTTTTGGCATAAGTACTATCAGTTTTGGATTAAGGTGGGTTTATGTCAACATAGTTTGCACCTTTGTTGTAACAGTACTACAGTAGTTCCCATTATGGAGCAATTTACTTAGACAAACAAAACATTGTGAGTGTATTCTTTCTTCTTTTATGAGCAAGACCAAATTCTTCTAGAGCCCAAACCTTTATTTATCCTACTCGTTGTCTCTTTTGTTTTGCCTTCTTTACAGGATTGTTGTGTAACAAACGCATAATACCCACTGGAACGCCCATGAATTGGATCATCCACTTGATCAAGGAACTTTAAGATCATTGACTTTCCTATTAGAATGGGTTGTTCAAAAGGGCAACGATATACAACATTCCAAAGATCCTACCAGATGGCATGCTCCTCATAAGCGTCTTTTGGTGCAACGAGGGTAGAGCTTGAGAAAATCTTAGGTATTGGTACTAGTTATTGTTATTTGAATTCATTTTTTTTTTTGACAGAAACCTGTTGGTAATATTAAGTAATCAGAAAGTCCTTCTCCAAATGAGAAAGGAGAAACATAGGAGGCCTAAGAGCCCAAGACTCTGACGAGTCCCAATTACAGTTTGAGTGGGCCATCTGATGGGCCGGTTCGTTCCCTTCTCTCTTTGTGAAACTCCAACGTATCTGGCCCAGCAACGCGGCCCGATCCTTCAGCTCCTTCGCGACAACACCAATCTCCATTCTCGAGTCTTCCTCACCCACCATTTTCTGGATAGCGTTCTGGCAGTCACTCTCCACCACCGCCGGTAAGAAACCATGGCGCTCCACTATCTGCAGCCCGAATTCCATCGCCCGAAGCTCGGCGATTTCAGGCGGCCACTGTCTTCGATCTCTTCTCACCGCCGCGAGGAGGAATTTTCCATTTGAGTCACGAGCCACCAAACCCAGTCATGTGCCCTCCCCCGCCATCACCGCAGCATCGACGTTTACCTTCACCCAGCCTTCCGCCGGTTTCTCCCAGGTACATCTCTCTCCAGATTTTGGCTCTTGTTCATTTTGATGATGTGATTTGTATTCTTCCCATAGATCTAGAGCCTTCCCTACAATCGTCCATTCCTCCGCTTTTGGCTTATTGAACATTTGGTTGTTCCTTTCATACCAAATCAGCCATAAAATCATCCCTATTTTCTCCAGCCTTTCATCATCCACCCTGTCCATAACCTCACACAGCCAACTTCCTGCTGATAGTGTAGGCTCCATTTCGAAAAGGTCCCTGAAGACTGTTGGTCGCCAGATGCGACTTGCCCACTGGCAATCTCTAAAAATATGGTTTTGGGTCTCTTCCAGATTGCAGAAAGGGCACTCAGTTGCCGCATCCTTGTTCTTCTTTTCAATATTCTTTCCAGTCGTGAGGATTTCGTGAGCCAACCTCCAAAGAAAAATCTTCACTTTCGGAGGAACTTGAAGTTTCCAAAGCCTGTCCCAATCCATAGGGTCATATTCTTCCGCGCCTTCTTCCTCATTTAATCTTCCCCCTTCTTCTTCAGTCATAACAGGGTCTCGATTACTTGACCTTCTGTTTGTAAGCAACCCATAGGCTGATTTCACAGTATATTCACCCTTCTTCTCCGCACTCCACACAAGATCATCTTTTGCTGGTTGACGGGGGATGGGGATAGCCATAATTCTGTCTCGGTCTGCCACGGTGAAATTATTTTGAAGCAGATTCCACCTCCATACCCTATCTTCATGGTTTATAAGGTCCACAACTCTGGTTAACCCTCCCGATTGTGGTTTTGGAGACAAGACTCGATAGTCGTTTTCCTCAGCTTCTGCCACCCATTTATCTTTCCAAATGTCGATGTCCGACCCATTTCCGACCCTCCATCGAGTCCCCTCCTTGACTAATTGTTGAGCCGCCATCATGCTTCTCCAAGTATAACTTGGATTATTCCCTAGTTGAGCTTCCAAAATGGTCGAATTAGGGAAATACTTAGCTTTCAGCACCCTGCCTGCCAAGGATTCTGGATTGTTTAACAGATTCCAGATTTGTTTTCCCAGCAAGGCTATGTTAAAATCGTGTAGCTCTCGAAAACCCATTCCCCCATTCGACTTTGGTTGACACAACTTATGCCAAGCTCTCGATGATAAATGCGAAAAGAAAGTAGGATCTTCCTGGTCTAATGGTCAAACCTAGGGCATTGCATCTAAACCAACGACTTCGATATATTTCAAAATCTTAAAATTGGGTTTTTTAACTATACAATACTGTGGATTATAAACAACAACATTTTATTGCACAAATAATCATTACCATTTTTCCGAAATAACCATAATTTTTGCATAAAAAAACACCAATTTACGTGAATAAACACTAAATTAGGTGAAAGAATACCAAAGTGGATTAGGTGACGATGGCGAAGAATTTTACAATGTTATATAGCATAGGTGCTACAGGTTTTTATCTTTATGGTACAACTTCATATTGTATCTATACTTTTTTGTACAAATTCTTTTATGGTACAACTTGAACTTGTACTTTCATGTGATGGTACAACTTAAAGTTGTAAAGTTGTACAATAACATAAGGGTACAAATTCATATATGGTACAACATGAACTTATACATTTAATGTTATAATATAACGGGACTAGATACTATAACAACACTTCTTTTGTTGTTATTGTAACAACACTAGTCTCCAACCAATAGGAAGCTAGGATTGTGATGACTTTTTATTAGATGAGTTGACCTAATGTAAAATCAAAGCAGGGGTATAATTGTCATTATGAAAAATATGTTTAAATAATAATAATAAAATAAAAAAATAAAAAATATTTTTTTATTATTTTCGGACCAAAATTTTGGTCACCGGAATTCGGCCACCGGTCGCGAGGTTTCTGGTGTGTTTTTGAGAATTTTGTGGTTTGCTTTGCGAGGTTTCTGGTTTGTTTTAATAGATTTTTGGTCTGCATTAGGACGTTTCTGGTTTGTTTTTGAGGTTTGCTTTATTGTGTTTGTGGTTTGCGTTATGAGTTTTCTGGTGTGTTTTTGAAAATTTGTGGTTTGCTTTGTGAGGTTTCTGGTTTGTTTTAAGGGATTTGTAGTATGGATTGGGAGGTTTCTGGTATGCTTTTTTTGGTTTGCTTTATCGTGTTTGTGCTCTGTATTATGAGCTTTCTAGTGTGCTTATGAAATATTTGTTGTATATTTTGTGAGGTTTCTAGTTTGTTTCAAGGGATTATTAGTATGCATTAGGAGACCACTTACTAATCTGTAGTCACTACTCACTACCACATTTTAAATTTATTAGGTTATATAGAACAAGGAAGCAACCATGAAGTTACATTATACAGGCTAGAGCAGACTCAATGTAAAACATCTTTTCGCTTGCACCCCTGACCCCAAAACTGAATTCAGAGTCTGCCACTCTTCGTCCCTCCAATGATATCGTCATTTCTGAACCAACTCCTCACTCACCTCTTTCTTAATCTCCTTGTAAACTGTAATCATATATCTTAATAACAAGGTCACTATTTCATTGATCGTAACAAACTAGATGAGTTGCTATTTAGCACAATTCACAAACAAAAAAAAAAAACAAAAACAAAAGCAAGAGTGAAAAGAAAATGCAATTTTTAGGATATTACAACTTAGCATTGGTACCCATCTTCTGCATGTCAACAATGGCTGCCGCCGCCTCCTCCGCCACCAGATCTCCTCTCTCCATCCTCCGCCCGTCATTCTCTTTCTCCCTCCGTCCATCTCCTCGCCAAGCTTCTGTAAAAAATCCCTTTCTAGGTTGATGCTCTGTTTTGAAGAGCTCTTGTTGGTTTGACTCTGCTCGTCCATGTGAGATTGCAGCTTGCTGCAACTATCCTTTCGTGGTCGCCGGTTGTCGTTGCCGCTACTTCTGTCTTGCAAAATCAGAGGGCGGGTTCAAGTCGACGCAGACGCAGGCGGTGAGGGTATGGGCGAGACAATTTCAGATCTGCGGCTCGTCTGCGAATCGGCAGCACTGAAGTCTCGCTGCAAGGAGTTCCAACCTGTGCACTTGATATTCGCCGGCGCCGGAGTAGGGTTTCTCCACCGGAGGAGAGTTTGAATTTGGGAATCGGAGGAGAACGCTAGCGACGTAGAAGGAGAAGAGAGCGGAGGGGAATTGGATTTGGGGATCTTGTAAGTTTCCAGTTTTGCCCTTAATGAATGGTGTTGTTACGGGGACAATAGATAGAGTGTTGTTATACTATCTTCTCCCTAATATAACTGTAAGTTGTATATTAAAACACCAATGCTACCCACGCACAGTGGCGGATACATGCATGGTTAGGGGTGTCCCGGGACACCCCTAAAATTTGGAAACACGATTATTCAACCTACGATAGTAGTTTGCGTATGAGAAAAAAATGATTAAGTGGTAGTGAGACACCTTTAAAATTTGGGAAAATGATTATCCAATCTCCCGTAGTACTTTGCGTATTGGTACAAATAATATTTAAGTAGTAGTTTATGTGATTTAAATTTGGGACATTGCCACTATTAGTTAATATATTTTTAATTACACTACAACTAATTTGTTAGTGTGTTTTAGATCCAAATATAATAGTAAAATGTTATTCTTATCTCAAATTATTTCCAAAACCTAACGATTCAACTCAATTATGGGATATCCTTGTCTAGTAGGATATGTCGAGAGATATTTGTTGAGCCATATAAACACCGAATGCATTTTATCATTTGACGAAACACGTCTGAACTTTTAATGAAACTTTTATTAGTTAGATATTTTCAAATTTAATAATTATTTCATTTAATTCTAATATTTAATTTAATTTAATTTTTTATAGAGGACACTCCTACGTAGAATTTCTGGATCCGCCACTGCCCACGCACTATTTATGTGTTATGCTTCAAATAACGAGGAAACACACATCCCTAATTATTAGAAGTTTGTTACACCCAACAATTAGCATGCAGCTTGACGAGTTCTCTGGAATCCCTACAAGGATCTGTCACCGTCGCCATGTTTCTCGCAAAACAAGCCACCCCCCGCGGCCCAATCCAGTACTGCTACCCGTGACCCCGCCGGCCGGCCTGCTCGCCAAACTTTCTCCATCACATAATGATCAGCAAATTCAAAACTCATCCTTCACCCGAACACGTTCCCACTGTCGATGGATCGAATCAACACTGCTTCCCTGCCTCCTGCCCAACAAATTCAGACATTATTGCCTCCTATAGCCTTCACTGCTTTGTATAAATATGCTTGTGCATGTAAGTATATACATTAATTAAGCATACAATGAACGCCGCCTTGTATACGACTGGAACCTCCTCCTTCACCGCCTCCGCCACCATCCCGCCGATTACCGCCTCGATCAAGAGCAGCGGCAAATCATCACGAGTTCATGCCGCCGCGGCGAACCACCACCACCAGCAGGAATGTAATTATAATTCCCTACGTTCATTGATTCTGAACGTGGCTGACGACTTCATCAACACGTTCATCGACCCTCCCAGCAGCCACCGCCCTTCCACCGACCCGCGATTCGTCCTCTCCGGCAACTTCTCCCCCGTCGTCGACGAGCTCCCACCCACCGAGTGCCACGTCATCCACGGCTCCCTCCCTCCTTGCCTCGACGGGGCCTACATCCGCAACGGGCCCAACCCACAACACCACCCTCGTGGGCCTTACCATTTCTTCGATGGGGATGGCATGCTCCACGCGCTCACCATCTCACGCGCCCACCCGCCCACGCTCTGCAGCCGCTATGTCAAGACCTACAAGTACTTGACGGAACGCGCCGCTGGGGCTACTTTGATCCCCAATATCTTCTCCGGCTTCAACGGCTTCCCCGCCGCTGCGGCCCGCTCTATCCTCGCCGCCGCTAGAATTCTCGCCGGCCAATTCGACCCGGGAAATGGAATTGGCGTCGCCAACACCAGCCTCGCCTTCTTCGACGACCGCCTATTCGCCCTCGGCGAGTCCGATCTCCCTTATGCCGTCCGACTGACGGAGGACGGCGACATCGAGACGCTCGGCCGCCACGATTTCGACGGCGGCCTGGCGCTGACCATGACGGCGCACCCGAAGACCGATCTCCAAACTGGCGAGACGTTCGCCTTCCGGTACTGTCACGCGTGGCGGGCGACATGGCGAATGATGTGGCGGATCATGACCAAGTCAAGCACGTGTGGCATTAGGAAGACCTAGTAGCATAGGATGCTCCTAGGATTCTCCATCTTGAATATGAGCTTAATGGTGCACATAAAGAGCCACATTATGAGGTGGTATAATGGTGTGCATTATGGGGGAAACTTAATAGGGTGTAGTAATGGGGAGGGACCATTATGAGGGGCATTGATGCCTTGTATGAGGAGAGGCCTATATAAGGAGCCATCTCCCTCACTTGTATCTCATCCATCATTTTTGTGAGCAATACAACTATAGAGTTCTCCCATCTTCTTGTGTCTTGTTCTTGTGAGTTGAGTGAGTTTGAGAGCTTGTGAGAAGGCTGCCTAGCTTCTCTAACGGAATTGAGAGTTAGGGCCGCACGACCAAGAGTAAGGCCGTGACAGTTGGTATCAGAGCCTGGTTCTGAAAGAAGAACCGGTGTCCTCACTCCCCAAGAAGGAAGATAAGAAAGAGCGAGAGCCTCACCAAAGATGGCTGGATCAGAAGTCCATGACGATGCGGAGAAGCAACGTGGAAGAGATCCTACTCCGGGCGGAAGGCCAAAAGGCGATGTTCAAGGTGTGGCGGCTAGAGTGACGAGTTTGGAGGTTGGCAATGAAGGGCTTCGAGATGAGCTCATGGCCCTCATCAAAAACACCATCTCCACCGCCATGAACGATGCCATTGAGCTAGTGAAGGAGGCGGCTGCTGCGGAGGTGACCGTCTTGAAGGAGGAGGTTGCGGAGCTCAAAAGCGAAGTGACGCTTGTGAAGAGGGCCATGGCTAACGGACCAGCCATCGCACAACCTGCCTCAACCATGGAGATTCCAAGACCAAAGAGCTTTCAAGGGTCGAGGAATGCAAGGGAGTTAGAGAACTTCCTATGGAGCTTGGAGCAATACTTCGAAGCTTCGGGTATTCGAGATGAGAATACCAAGGTAAAAACTGCACCTCTGTACTTGAGTGATGTTGCCATGCTGTGGTGGAGAAGGACCCAAGGCGATATCAATAAAGGGACGTGCGTGATGGAGTCATGGGATGACTTCAAGAGGGAGATCAAGAGGCAATTCTACCCGGAGAATGTTGAGTTTGAAGCCCGGTCGATACTAAGGAGGCTTGCTCACGAAGGAGAGATTCGAGGGTATGTGAAGGAGTTTTCTGAATTGTTGCTCGAGATCCCCGACTACACCGACAAGGAGGCCATGTTCACCTTCCTTGACGGCCTCCAACCATGGGCGAAGTTGGAGCTACAACGGCGAGGCGTGCAAAGTCTTGCCGAGGCAATGGCGATTGCCGAGTCCCTAGTCGAGTACCACGAGCCGGAGGAACGTGTGGAGTTCGGAGGCAATGGAGGTGGACGCGACTATGACAGAGACACACGAAGGCGTGGTAGACTGGACCAAGGAGGTAGTCGTAAGGTTGAGAAACCACTTACTTGCTTCCTTTGTGATGGTCCGCATCGTGTGAGAGATTGCCCAAGAAAGCACAAGTTGTCGGCAATGAAGGCCGTACTAGCAGAGTGCTCGAGCTCGGAAGAGGAAGCGGAGGAGACTCCAAGAGTGGAGCCCCATGTCGCGAAGATTGGTTGCATGAAGAGATTGAGCGCCATCAAGCGGACGGAAGAGCCTCCCCATCCTGAGCAACACGGTCAATGCTTTGTAGAGGCAAAGCTCAACCAAAGGAAGACAAAAGCCTTGGTTGATACCGGGGCAAGTTGCAACCTTCTCGACGTAGATGAAGCGCGGAGGCTGGGCATCACGTACGAGAAGAAGCGAAGAGGGTGGATGAAGGCTACCAACTCAAGGGCCACAAGAACTCATGGAGTAGCGCGCCAGATGCCACTCAAGCTAGGAGGATGGACCGGGGTGGCGGACTTTGAGGTTGTGTCGTTGGATGATTATCGGGTCATCGTTGGCATGGAGTTCATGGTGCGGGAGAAAGCTTTCCCGATCCCATACGCCAATAGATTCTGCATCAATGGCGGAGCAAGATCGGTTCCCATGACAAGAGAGCAACTCGAGTCAAACAAGAGGTGTTTGGCAAGGCAAGAGCAGCGAAAAGTGGCAACGATGGTGGAGGTAGCGGCTCATTCGAAGACTCGTTGGAGAAGGACGAGAAGGAGGAGTGCACAACATCGTGGAGCCATGAGAGACGATGATGGATCATCTTCGACTTTCCAGGAGAAGCAAGGAAAGACCACCATGATCGAGAAGGCGGGACACTCGAAGACGCGACGGAGAAGACCGCGGAGGAGTGCGCAACATCATGGGAGCACAAGGCTCGAGAGCGAGCCAGGGCCATCCTTGGTTTGGAGGAAGGTGCAACGAGACCTTGCAAGCAATGAAGCTAAGGCAAGGGAGGCATCTGCCAAAGAGCCACGACGAGGGCGTCGTGGATTGAGTGGAGGAGAATGTCACCAACGAGGCTCAAGAGTCGAGAGAGGCTGCTCCAGGTCGATGGAGGCATTTCGTAGCAAGGACACGATGAGGGCATCGCGAGAATAGGTGGGGGAGGATGTCACGCGTGGCGGGCGACATGGCGAATGATGTGGCGGATCATGACCAAGTCAAGCACGTGTGGCATTAGGAAGACCTAGTAGCATAGGATGCTCCTAGGATTCTCCATCTTGAATATGAGCTTAATGGTGCACATAAAGAGCCACATTATGAGGTGGTATAATGGTGTGCATTATGGGGGAAACTTAATAGGGTGTAGTAATGGGGAGGGACCATTATGAGGGGCATTGATGCCTTGTATGAGGAGAGGCCTATATAAGGAGCCATCTCCCTCACTTGTATCTCATCCATCATTTTTGTGAGCAATACAACTATAGAGTTCTCCCATCTTCTTGTGTCTTGTTCTTGTGAGTTGAGTGAGTTTGAGAGCTTGTGAGAAGGCTGCCTAGCTTCTCTAACGGAATTGAGAGTTAGGGCCGCACGACCAAGAGTAAGGCCGTGACAGTACAGCCCGGTCCAGCCGTATCTGACCTACTTTAGATTCGACGCCGGCGTCGGCGGGAGAAAGCAACCCGACGTGCCGATATTTTCCCTTTCCCGGCCTTCGTTGATCCACGATTTCGTGATCACGAAGAAATACGCCGTGTTTGTAGACATTCAGATCGCGATGCAGGGTCCGATGGAGATGGTTTTCGGATCCGGGTCGCCCGTCGGGGTCGACCCGAAGAAAACTCCCCGGGTCGGGTTGATTCCCCGGTACGCGGCGGATGATTCGGAAATGAGGTGGTTCGACGTCATCGGGTTCAACCCGTTCCACTCGATCAACGCGTGGGACGAGGAAGGAGGCGGAGACGTTGTCGTTTTGCTGGCCACGAACATCATGTCGGTGGAGCACGCGCTGGAGACGTCGTCGGAGCATATCCATGGATTGGTGGAAAAGGTGCGGATCGATTTGAACGCGGGGACGGTTTCCCGGGTCCCGGTTTCAACCCGGAACCTGGACTTTGGGGTGGTTAACCCGGGTTACGTGGGGAGGAAGAACCGGTTCGTGTACGCTGGAGTGGGGGACCCGCTGCCGAAGATATCGGGGGTGGTGAAGCTGGACGTCGGGGACGAAATGGGGAGGGGGGAGAACACGGTGGCGTGCAGGATGTTCGGGTCGGGTTGCTTTGGCGGGGAACCGTTTTTCGTGGCGAAGAACCCGAAGGATACGAACGGGGAGGAAGACGACGGGTACGTGGTGACGTACGTTCACGACGAGAAAAATGGGGCGTCGAGGTTTTTGGTGATGGATGCTCAGTCGCCGGAGCTTGAGATTGTGGCAGCGGTGAAGCTGCCGCGGCGGATTCCGTACGGGCTCCATGGGCTGTTCTTGAGGGAGAGTGACGTCCGCAGGGCAGGCAGACCCTAAATGTTGTTGATGTTAATTGTATCAATTGTGTAGTATTATGTGAGAATGTGTATTTGCAATCATAAATGCATTCGGATTTATCAAAACTGTCAATGAAATAAGATGTCTTTGTTCAACTTGCAAATTTCGCTCACCCAATTTCAGCCAACCAACTGATTTCAGCAATTTCTAACACTAAGTATCTAAAAGTTTGACAGAAAGAACTACATGCATTGCGTATCTCTTACCACCACCTTGTCTATTCCTTTTCTGCTAAAACAGTAAAACCCACTACCCTTAACTTTCTTTTGCCCCTGCATATCTAACTCGAGTCTAAAACAGACCCAGAAAGACTGGAATGAATGCCCTTTCGCTCCCCCAGAATGAGACCCATCTTACACGTGGGGAACATGTTGCCAAATATAAGCAAGTAAAATAGAACTAGGGGTTTTGCGGGGGAAACAAAATAGTTAGGTTACTGCAAGCACTTGTCAAAAATTTCTGGAAAAGTGCCAACAAGCTAGCTTCCTTCACCAAAGAGTTGGGCACTTATCATCCTGCACGGGTGACCGAGTTAACAAGTGTGAAGGTCAGTCAATGCAGACCAAGATCTGTATCAGAATACAGATGGATTAGTGTATCAGAGTCAATTTCCTCTACAGCAACCAGTTGTTTCCTTTTCTCCTTACCATTGATCTCAAGGGACAGGTGACCTAAACCTTCACCATATGTGCATCAGCGACGGACGAAGTGAGGTCTTCCCTGGATTGAGATCTTCTGCTCTGAAGGCGCATCTGACTTCTGTGAGGGGGCCAGAAGGAAGCCATGTTACTATTCTCAACCATCTGCCCTAAGCTGCTGGACGAATAACTATGCGAAACACTGCCACTCGCTGTGTATATGGCAGGTTCCATGAGTTGGATCCCACTCCCACCCAGACCATGTCCCAATCCAAATGGTCGATGTTGCCCACTTGCTACTGTTGGACTCAATGGCATCTTCACTCTTCCATCACCTGAAATATTTGATGTTGCATTCACTCATGTTAAAGGGAAATCCAGAATAATGATATAGCTAAAGGTTAAAAGGAGAGGCAAAGTTGGCGAGAAAAGACTTCTAGCAGTAAAATAAAACAAAACATCTCGAACCTACTTCACTGCCTTCTGGCCCACAGATATCCAACCTTAGTCAAGACTCAAGCTACCCTTGTACAAAACTTGAAAGGGCTTCTAATAACTTAAGTGTGCTTCTCTAATATGACAACTCATCTTCAGTAATAAGATAGAGGTTCCAGCGGTTTATTTTCTTGATTTCCCCCCTAATTACAGATCAATGGCTGCTAATTTAATTCAATTGGACATTTCAGATCTTCTATCTATCTATCTATCTATAAAAATATTAAAGGGCTTTGATTTTTTGACCCCTTCCACGTCAGCCTCTCTCAAAAGAGAGCGTATCCACGTCAGCCCATAAAAAACAACTTACATTCTCTCTCCATCCTCTCTACGATCCCTCTTTGCCATCCTTTGATTTCACTTCATCTCTCATCACCGCCACACCCCGGCGGTTACTTCTTTCCATATGCTATATATTTCTCATCACCGCCGCTCCCTCATTCTCAGTCTCACAATTCACACCCGGCGGTTCCTTCTTCCCAATCGATCTACTACACTCTTCATCCCCACCAGTGCACGCACCGATAAAAATTTGAATCCAACAATTACCATCTTCCATTCCATGCAACGGACGCATTATCTACCAACGATACCCAGCCGACTGGTACGTTTCGATACGATTTCACCCATCCGTTCTCTCCATTCCCAAGCATCTCTAAGTCAACATGTTTTGTAGGCTAAAATTAAAATCTTTTCAGGCTTCAGGCTTCGATCAACATGCCGCCAGCAAAGTAACTCCCCTGTTTTTCCTTCATCTATACTGGCATTGCCCAAGTCCCGATCAGTGAATTGATTGAGAAAATTGGCGGTGGATTCTTAGACCTCGAAGGGGAAGCGTGCTGGAGTTGGTAGATCCGTGGGAGATGTAAAGAGGCAGACTGGTCGGCAATAGTGAAGAGGCGATTGGAATTGGCAGATTTGAGGGAGATCATGAGAAAGCAGCATGTAATACATTCTCAACTCCATCTCCAACTAACCCATCTTCCCTCTTTATCCTTTAATTAATACCATAGGTTGTCATGTATGGTTGTTAAGGTCTTTATTCTCAATCAGTTTGTCTTATGGGTTTTCTTTTTTCTTCTCTTTCAGTTCTGATCTTCATCCAAGTGGCCGGAAGTCACAGCCACTTGGCTACGCTTCCATCGTTGCCAAGTCTTTTGGGTTTTCCTTTTCCATCTCCTGCAAGCACTATGTTTGTTATGAATTCTGCCAACGCTGCAAAATTATATTTTTGTTCTAACTTCTTTCTCCAATCCAAATACACTTCTCGGACAATAGAAGCTAAGGCCATTTAATAGGACAAAACTATAACGATCGAGTACGATTGAAGAGACACCATGAGCATGAGATAACATGCCATGCCATGCAATCTATATTTGGTTTACTTTTTGCCATTGAATCATATTGATTACACAAATTCGATCAACATTCTTCTTCTATTATTGATACTGATTTGCAGCAGCTATAGACGTTAATAATTGGTAAGCTCTTCTAATGAACTCTACTCCTCCAATTCAAAGACGTGTACCTCTTTGACCTTTAAGCTCTTGAGTTCTATCTTTTTTGCAGGTCGCCAAATTTGTGGGTAGCGTCCTTGGACCTCCAGTTTGCAGTGTGATTATGGTAATGTTTCTTTCTTGATTGCCCTACAAACCATCATAAAGCCATTTCAAATCTAATCATGGTACGAATTAATAGAACATGATTTAACATTCATGGAGATTTTAGTTTCAATTTAAACCAGTGACCCAACAATAAACACCGATCAAGGTTGGTAATACATCAAAGGTTGCTCCGGGGAATGGAGAGCAAACAAAGCATCAATGAACCTGGATACGACTTGCCAATCTGGACAGGGGTGAAAAGGCCTATTGGTTTGTAGTGTGGGGGTGAGAATGTAAATTGGATAGGCACTATATGAATGGTTGAAATTCTTATTTATTTATTTGGAAGTGAGATTTTCATTCATAATTACAAGGAAAAGAGCAATTTAGTATGATATCTATACAAGTATAAGAAATTAAGTGGTAGTTTGGAAATTGCGAATGTTAAATCGTTGTATTGTAATGAATCACAATAATGTAAATACATGTATTGGTACAATAGATACATTTCAATAATACATTGTTTGGTTGATGAGGTTCTACTTGATGTATTGACTTGCATAAAGTTATTTTATGGGAAAATATCACATTTACCCTCAACTTTTAGTATAAGACAAAAATTAATAGGGATAGAAATGGAAAGAAAAAATGGACACAAATCTAAAATCAACAATCTCAAGTTTTGTTGAAATTGTATATAATGCCTCATTTTTTGTGATTGTTGGTGGGACCTATACCTATAACAATCATGCATTGTTTTACACTTAGGTACTTCCAAACATTATGGGGTTGTTTGGAAGTTGTGATTCTTCAAATTGATGTATTGGGACAATTAGTATTCAATAAACACAACTCTAACAATGTCATGTATTCAATAAACACAACTCTAACAATCACAACTACCAAATGACCCTAAGAAACTGTCAAAGCCAAAACCAAAAATTTGGTGGGAGCCCAAAATAATAATAATAATAATCCGGCCAAAGGCCGGGCCCGATGCTAGTTATGATAATATGACTTTTCAGGAAGAATATTTCCTTCGGGAAGATGGAGGGCTACTAATGGCTCTGTCAAAACCTTTATGCAGAACCAACCAGAGATACAGCAACAAAGGAAAGCTAGCACAGGGAGTAAATCCCATAAAGTTGATCTCAACGGAAGTTTTCAAATAAATATCAGAACCATGAGGATATCAGTCGTTTCCAAAGCTAGATAAGAAAGTTAATCTCAATGGACGTTTTCGAAAGAAAATTTTAACAATAATTTTTCTTTCTAAGGGCATTTCTTGAGGCTCAATGGTAAAAATGTATGGTCCTTGAGTTCGTTTAAGCATATATAATCTTGGAGAGATATATGAACATCATAACAAATTTGCATAATTTCTCAGTGAAATTTTGAACTAATGGAGACGAAACGATCCGTGAATACATTGCATGAAATACAGCAAGCCCAGAAGTTTTTCTGCTCCTCTATAACAAGTAACTAAAAGTGCTCTCAACCTTTGTAAACATGTGCAGTACATTCACGTGAAGAATTATTCTACAGTATCAAAACTACATTGATGTTTAAAAAAAACTCACCAGTATTGATAGGACTCCAACGCTGAAAACGGAAGGGGGACGGGATGTTGAGAACAGATGTGGCAGATGCATTGTTATGCCTGAAAAGTGGAAGATATGGTCGCCGGAAAAACCTCGGAATCCAGTTGCTAACACAAGATAATGCACATAGGAGCATGAACAGTGACATAAGCAAAATGGCAACGAGAACAATTGGATGTATCTTCATATGGAATATTTCATACTTATGAAGCCGTAATCTAGTTGAAAATGTTCTCCCAGCTTCCAACAATGCAACCCCAAGCGTCCAAGTTATACTACCAGAACAGATAACAATTTGACTATCTGTGATGTGTAAGCCCTCTCTCAACAATGATACTACGTATGGTCCCCGAAAGCAGTATTGTTCAATAAAGGGCTGTGGAGGAACACTACTTTTTGCATCTTTCCAATTCCTTTCACAGAATTCTCGACCCTTTTCCAATACATCGTCGAGGGAAGCTTCTGCAGAAAGGTTGAAAAAACGATATACCACAAAAAAACCCAGACATAGCATAGAACTGGCCAGAAGGGCGAGGTAAATCCTCGGGGAGAGCACAGGGTTGCAAGTCACAGTCTAGTGCTGGACTTTTATTTGACCACTCGGATAAATTAACAACGATTTTTGCAAGAGCACTGCATTCCTCCCAGTTTGGAGCACCAATTAGCTTAATAGTCACTCCTGACTTCACTGCCTTGCGAAGCAGTCTTCCTCTGATAACAGGACTAACACCATCTTGTTTGTCAGACCCACAGTGGGAACATTGATATTCCTCCTTGTAGCCAGAATGCAGGCAAGGATGCTTAATTTCTGTTTTCTTACTCAGTAAATCAACATTTGGAAGCCTCTTTAGGATATGGACAACGGACTTGTCAAATGCATCATTTAAACCATACCCTGCGAGAGAATAGGCACTGAGGCGATGATTGACAGCTCCAATTCTAAGGTTTAAGTTAGTCTGGTTGCGAAACTGTTTATTACCCTCGAAAGTGACCTGCAAAGATGAGCCCCCCCCAGGTCAAGAGCACCAAATGTTGGCTTCTTCGGACTTGCTCCCAGTACCTCAGTTCTATAATTTAAGGCTATCCATCCAAAGTAAGCTTCTTCCATGCCACTGATAATCTTAATCCATTCCCTTTGACACAAGAAAGGAGATTCGTTGAGTATCGACCATGCTTTATCTAGCAGCCATTTCGAATCTGATATAGGAAGCCTTCTTACCCCAGCAGTAGCATAAAGGAAAAGTGAGGTAGACTGATGTGCCTCCACTGGAATTTGCTTCTGGGCCCACTTAACAAGTGGTTTTAGAGCAGACTTTAAGCCAGATGTATTATGCACCAACATATGAAGCCCAGGTTCAGTTTCCATTCGATCATATGCACGTCCAGTTGGCTTTCGAGAAACACCTTCGGAAAAAGACTTCACCAAAATGGGTAAGTTACCGTCTTTTTTTGTTATCAATGGATGCCTGATATACGAACACACGAGTTCCAGTACTTCCACAGTCAAGAACAACATAGAACTTGGATGATCCTTGAGACCAATAAGAATAAGCGTAAATGGCAATCAAATAAGTTAAGAAAGTAAATGATAACAGGCACAAGAAGACCAACAGCGACCGGACCCATTTCCTCCGTAGAAAAGGAGTTGCAGGTGGCAGTCCTCTCTCCTTTGAGAAACTTGCAGCAGTAGCATTCTCCCTCTGTAACAAGCGAATATTCTTATCAACCCCCAACTTCAGAGGGTCCCCTTCCTCGGGGTCGAGTCGCCTATATGATGACAAGTCTTGCAGTGATGAAGAGAGCCTCAAATTGGCCTTGTTTTGTGCAGTGTTCGAGAAAGAAAATCCATGATCGACCACGGCCTCTGTTGGAGGGGGAGATAGCCCAGTTGACATGTATGGGACAGAAGCAGAGTTCGGTCCTGAAAAAGAGAGGTGACTACTAGCCGCAGAAACCGAAGCTGCTATTTTACCAAACACCTTGTTCAAGGGAAATTTCCCAATTATAAGAGATTTACACTATTTAATTCATTTTCTCTTCGCGTTGTCAGCGTTATTGATGTCATAATTTATGGTGTTCACGTGACATTATTACGTATCTTCCTTGTACAGATAAAATCGTTATAATTTCGACTTGTAAGCGCACGTGGCTATAAAGTTGTCGAATGTCAGCAACACAAGCTGGCATCGCGATCGCATGGATTGGTACATCCGTACATGTACATGTATGGATGAGCAGAAACTAGTATCAATTACTACAACAAAACAGAGCACATGCTCCGCTCCATACTGTTATCTCGAGATGCATTGTTGACAACAGAAAAAATGACCCATGAGGTTTTATGATCTCCAAACCCAAAAAAGAAAGCGGGGAAAACACGATTCTGAACTTATCCTAATTCACAGTCCAATAAGTTGCTTGCTTAATCTACGGGTTTGAGTGAGGAACCGGAGAAAATGTGCCCCCTCAGGTACACACCCTTGTTCATAGTTCCATCTTTGTGGATCAGGGGATCCAATGCCCGGACCGGAACATGAGCCATGGCGAGGGTCGATGCTGCGTGTGTCTCTCTGTAAGATCCCCATGTCACTAAATATAGGCCAGCAATGATTAGGCATCCTCCAACTATGCTGTTTCATTCAACAAATGGAAACACAGAAGCTGTCAGCTTGTGTTTCTTTCATGGCTACTTTACGGACAAACCAATTAACCAAACAACCTGCTGAAACCTAGACTCAAAGCAACAGAACATAGGATTATTAAGATAAAGCAAAGAAATATGTAAGAGCAAGTGAACAACCTTCCCAAATAAATAGGGCTGCCCAGGAAGATCCTGGAGAGAAAGGCAGATGCGGCAGGTTGCAGCGGATTGTAGAGGGCAACCAGAGCAGGGCCTAAGATCTTGTTGCACCATGTTATTAGTCCATAATTAAGAGCAGACGCGACAGTTCCCTGATTATTCATTCAATGAGCAAAATTAAGAAAAACGTATGTAAACTTTTCAAGTACCATGGCCATGATCGTTTTCACTTTTCACGATAGAATTATAAACTGTGCAAAATGATGATTCAAGTATGTCAGCAGCAGAGTGATCAATGTTGCATGCCATGGAAGTGGTTCGTTCATGATATGACCTCATCGAGTCTTTTGGGAGAGCAAATGCATTTCTACCTTATGCAACATAACTAATAGAGATATCATAGAACTATCATTGTCGTTCCACAAATACATAATGCAATTATGCAAGACTGTATTGGTTGGCCCAGAAAAGATACTAGATATTAATGATTTTCAGTAACTAGCATGTTAAAGGATGCAACAAAAGGAGTTAGTAACGGAAGACAATATCCTCAGACATTGATGTGCCAGGAAACAAAGACTTACAGCATATAGCACAGCCAATAGCTCTGACTGAGTTAAGCTCCACTCTGTTGATTCATTGTTCGCAAAGAATGCTGTCAACACCATCAATAGCGCCCCAAAGCCATAAGAATATGCGGTGACTGAAATGCTAGCGGGATATTTAGCTAAAACTGGAGCCTGGAAATTTTCAAGTTACAGATTAACATCGTCAAATTGAGTATTACTAGGGGACGTAGTAAGACTTAACAGTAACAATGAGAAGAGCTCCACAGACTACTGTAGGTCAGTTCCAACTTATCCTCCTCTATGAGAGTTGCAAGCAAATAGCTGGTATAAAGGGAAAATGGACACAAATCAAAGGCTAAGACACAAAGTGAGTACAAAGAGTAAACATAATACTAAGATCGTTGAGCAATATAAGGGAACGGTAGATGCAGCACAAAAATGTAGCAAGTCTAGAAGCCCCCAATCCTAATTTATGAAGCATGTTTTAATTATTAAACTAGTGTCCAAACAAGACCTGTTGATAAAATTTAACAAAACCTATACCGTCAGAGCACAGAACAAACAAATATGAATTGAAGTTGAATGTCTATGCTATGCTATGCACACTGCAACTTTTAGCAACTCATAGACACCACACAACCTACAATCCAGTTCCACACAAGACCAAGGGAAAATCCCAATATTGAAAAATTCAAGTAAAAGGAGCAGTAAAGTGTAGACAACAACAAAGTCAATACTGTACAAACCATAGTAGATCACTACTATCTAGTTCACTGGTTTCTCCACGGAAACAGGGTCTAAGGTTCAGTTGTCAAAATCAAACTGGTTCAAAGCACTCTATCTCAAGTTGTTCAACTTGACTTTGCATACTTCATCAGCAAAGCCCATTCACCAAGATAATGTGCCTAACAATGTAATGGCAGAGGGGAAAGGAGACAAGTAAACACCAACCTCTACGTTGGCTAGCACCTAACAGCAAATGAACTACAGAAGGAATTTTGCAGCTATTAATCCAACATTGGAACGCAGGAGATTACCTGAATGGCCAGAAAAGCAGCCATGCACATACAGTTTCCAATTAAGCATAGAACCCCAAGGTGCCAAGTCTCTAAACCGATGTCGAGAAGGCTGGCCAGAAACCATCCTACAGGCTCTGGTTGACCTCTAGCCCTTATTTCACTGCTGGCCATGTCAGCTTCTGCCTGTCCAATGATAGCAGGACCGCGGAAAAGAACCATCAATATGGCACCAGAAACACAGACGGCTGTGCCCAAAATCTTTGCTTGACCTTCAGTTTTGAGCAAATTCACTCTTTCTGTACTGCATAATAAAGAAGTACATCAGAGAAAAGATATCCCAACTCTGCAGTTTCAGCAAGTTCTTGTCTCAAATCAAGCAAATTACTAGAAAGATGCTGAGGAACAAATTTTGTCAGACTCACCCCATTGTCACAGCCAGAAGAAATGTGAAAACTGGTATTGAAGGCTGTATAGCAGCAGCATAAGTTGGATTTGTGTAGCTAAGACCGAGAAGAAACAAAAGCTGGTTGCCAAAAATCCTAAGGAGCACCAAAACCCCAATTATCAGTGATAATGAATTGCAGTTCACCGGTTAACCTGACTACTAAGCCATTAGCCTTACCCAGTCAAGCCGAGGAAGAAAAATGACAGGAGCAAGCGCCTAGTCATGGGCGGTCGGATCCTCCTACAACACAGAAATGCTTTAAGGATACAGTGTAATGCAGAGTTGCGATGGACCACAAAAGAACATGTCCAGAATCTCCAAATCGGAACCAATTGAAAGCCATTGGAGCAATCAAGGAGCTGAATTGCATGTAGGCTAAAGATACCAACTTGACTGAACAACATCTATAAATTTCTATCAGCATGCAACAGAGCGGCAATTTTACTTGGCACAATCACCACCTAATTAATGGAACAGCAATCACTTCAACAAGAACCCTGAAGAAAAGAAATTCAGCCGATTCTATCTCAAAGAATAAGAGCAAAGGGGCAGAAATCCAATTACTTTTCCCGCACATAGGCAACGGGGGCGAGAATGGAAAGGGCAAGGAGATCGCGGAAGACGCAGAAAACGAGCTGATTGACGCCGACATTGAGAGCGACTTTGGTAATAACATGGTAACCACCATTGATGAGCTGAACCAAGGCCATTGACATATGGGCTCTCGACACATCTTTCTCAAGAGCCCCCGTAACTCCTCCGCCTCCAACGACGGCGGAAGCAGCCATCTTTGTAATTCTCCTCCTTCCTCAGGGGAATGCGGAATGTAACAGCGCGCAACACTATCGAGCGAGAGAAGTGAAGGGAGGATGAATTATTGGGTGTAACGATGCATGAGAGAATCAGCGGAACAAAACGGAAAGAGATCAGAGAGATGGGTCGGTCGGCTGATTGATTGGTTGAAATGGAAGGAAGGAAGGAAGATTGGAGTCAGTGAGAAGCAAGCTCATGGAAATGGTGGGAAGGGGACAGCTTTACCAAAGTCGAAAGGGACAAATTTTCTTGGCATTTTTTTTTCTTTCGGAACGCAATCGTAATTCGTAACGCCCTTTTCTTTCTGAGAGCGTTGTTTTCATGTCTTGTTTGGTTTTATTCGGCTTTTCCTTACAAAATGACTCTTTGGAAAATATTACTGTACAAGTGAGGAAAACAAGACTTTTCCAATAAAATTTTATGTCCCTCTATTTATAACCGTAACTTTCTACTAATTTTCAAATTGAAGTGCCTCTTATGTATGCAAATACAACTAACATTTGCAATAGAAAAGTCCAACTAACTGAAAGCTAGTGCGACAAAAGACTCATCGACGACAGAAAGCTAATGCTTCTCGTATCCGACGGTGTAGTCGTTTGTGCATGGCAGGAACTGTTTAAGATTGCAACAGTTCACCATTGCAACAATAATCCGCACCTTTTACTCAACTTCCTCGACGACAACGACGAGGGTAATCTCGACCACAGTTTTGATAGCGACAGAGGAAATGTTCCTCAAGTTCACTTGTGGTGTTACAGCACAAACTGTTTAACAGCTTTGCATTCGTTTAAAAAAAGTCCGACGAGCAGCCAAAAAGCCGCCTCATTCTATAATCAAAATCGAAACAATTTTACAAGAAGTGCGTTACCAGTAAATTATGATACACTGATCATAATACAATTGAATATCAACATTGCCATCTACACAGAAGTGAAAACCCCAAATAAAACTCTTGACAACTGGCCAATGCAGAATCTCATCACATTTTCATATGCCCAAAATGGTCCTTATTTGATCTGGGGGATGTCTTGCAAGTGATTTCGGCTCTGCGTAGCTATTGCTGGGATCCATAATCGCTCTGTAAATAAGATCGTACGCCCCTGCAAGCGACCTGGCCACCTCCACACAGGTCTCCGATCGCAACCTTGGGACCTGCATTTGTTCAAACTCGGGAAGTGCACTCTCACTCCCCAGTACAAGCCCGAAGAAAGCCCTCAGGCACTCTGCTAGAGCCGCTGGGGATGTCTCTTCAATCTCTGCTAGTGGCTTGGCCCCTGACGTCGAATCCCCAGTTGCTCCGCCGTCAACTGAATCATGGAAGTAAATCATTTTTTGAGACAGGCCACATCTTGTAAGAATGGCGTTCACTTCTCTTCCCACCAGATCGTGCACGTGCTTATTTATCATTGCTCCAAGTTTATTTACATATTCAGCAGCAATCTCGTGCCCGGACAATGGTTGCTGGATGGCGCACAAGCAGTTGATGAGGAAGATCTTAGAAGGCGTTTCAGAGTTCTGCATAGCACCATTTAGAAATGAAATTATAGATCACCCTCAGCAGAATCGAACTGGTAACGTCATGTCATGGTGTACAAATAAATAATTTTAGAACCACTGTGAAGCCTGACAACCAGAGATGCTCGTAAGAAGGGCAAAAGGTAAGTAGATACCTGAGACGACGGGCCAGCACTTCCATTTGACAGAAGGGCGTCCACTGATGATTTATTGTCTTGGTTTGAGCCAGTGCTCCTCCTTCTTGACAGGTTACCAGCACCCTTAGACTTGTGTGCCTCCGCAGCTCGCTCACACATCTGCAATGAAGCGTGAAAAAGGATAGACCTTGTCTCAGATAGAGCACACAATCTTTCATATACATCTCATTGGATTACTAACTTAGGGGTTGGGCACACAACTTCTGAACATATTATACCTTCAGTTTATATTGACTTCAAATAACTTTTCAGAATGTAACACAGTTCATAAGAAAGCATTGAATGTAATTGGCAAGGCATTAGAGAAAATACATAAGCATTAAACCTGCTATTAGTCCTGAAAACAAAGTAAGAATGAAATCAACCAAACCAACAAGCTTAAGTGACAGCTGAGATGCAAATGATTTGGGAAACCAAATAATTTCGAAGTAGACAGAAAATATGAGGAATTCATCCCTGCACGTGATTCCTTATCGCACCTTCTCAAAAACACTTAAAACACAATATCCAATTAACAAAAGAGCAACAGGCAAAGTATACAAAACATTCTTTATCATCCCTGCAAACTTATATACAGCATTGTATATACATTGATCCCAGAACTTAGTATTAGATAAAGATCACACCTGAATTATAGGATCAAGTAGTGCAGATATGACTGGACCGAAATCTGAATTTTTTGCTGTAGCAGGAACCATCATGCTGTTATGGGTTTCAATTATATCAAGTAAAACAGATACACCTTCCCTCACAGCCTGTGGAGGGGAGAGATCAGCAGCTACAAGAGGAGGATAACGTAAGAGTTTCTCTCCACGGGTTTTCAGAATGCCAAAAAATGTTTTCTGTGCGGCATCCTTCAGTAGCCACAACGTATTGCAGAGGGCTGTATCTCTCCCAAGTAAATCTGACACCTAGAGTTATCATGGTTGGTTTCTTTCAGCCAAGGGGAGGAGACCAGAACATAAAAAAGATAAAGTAAACAAAGGACAGTGCAATCACTTACAGTGTAGCAGTAAAATTCCAAGGTATTACTGAGCTTGTATGTTACTATAAGATTTGGTTGGGACTGCAATACTTGTTCTACCCTAACTTTAAATGGGCGACAAACTCCTTCGAAAATTCTGTCCAGAACAAATGTCATGTCGGATTCGGTCTTTCCATTACCATTCTGCAAAACCTTTGGCACATAATTTGTGGTTGATCCAGCATCTGCATTTGCATCAGGATCAAGTAACGCAAGAGCAAGTTCACGCTCAGATGCCAATGCCTGCATATGATAGAATGAATTATAAAAGCTCGTCTGAAGAACAAGTTTAGAAAAACTCGATCAAGGGGAAGTTGAACCCAAACCTGATGCAACCATCCCAGCATGTCACCGACATATCGTAATGGGTCGTGAGCATGAACCTCTATTGGTCTTGGCAGTCCACCAGGTCCTCCACGTGTAAGAGCACTAATAAATCTTCTGAATAATGCATTGTGCCTCATGTTTGCTACCTGTACATTCGTTCCAAAGCAGATCTTTCATGCCACATGGAAACTTATATTCTAAGCAGAGATTCTTCATTCAAAGGTAGTATTCACCTCTTCCGCACAATATTTGAAAAGGACCGGTCTCTCTTTGAGGCACCGGACCGCTGTTTTCAAAAGATCACCAACTTCAGGATTGTCAGTATCGCCCAGCTTTCTACATTCTGCCTGAACCCACCTAGAATGGGATAATGCAACTAACGGGTCAGGTAAAAGGACAAGAAACTTTAGGGAGTTAAGCAGTCTATAGTAGATTCACACAATTCCAGAGTAACTTATTAACCAAGGTAAAATGCCCCTCAGAATGTTTGCTAAAAGATACACTAATAACCAGGCTTCTTATCATCCAAGTGTACAAAGATAGTATAGGAGCATTAAGGCCAGCAAAATAGACATAGGAGTTATAGCAAGAACAAAAGCATGGAATCTCATAACTACCAATATCTATCTCTTTGCTACTAAAAAGAAATTGGTTAGTAGGTCAGGACCAAACAAGAACAGCTGTGGGATAGGTTACTTGTTACTATAGTGTAAATAAAATAATGTTCATATATCCAAATTTTATTTCTAAAGTTCATTTTAGTGATTCAGATGAACAAGTACTGAAAGTAAACCAGTATATGTTCAGTAAAAGAAACATTCTTTAAGAAAAAAAAAATACGAAAGGGAAGAATTATCAAGTGAAGAAGCTAATTTTACCTGCATAGCCGCTCATATGCTCCTTCTTGGTACACGGCCATCATATCCATCAACTCTAAACCAGCTCTCTGCCAAAAAAGTCATTTAATTCAATGATTACTACCACTTCAAAGCTCAGGGAAATTAATTAAATTGAATCAGCTAGTAAATTTAACAGAAAACAAATAATGAAGCACGCCATCTATCATCAAAGTAGAAGTATGGGAAAACTTCAGACCTAGAATAGTAAGAATTAAGTGATAATGTGTTCAGCTAAGAAAGATAAACACCAGATCGAACTCACTTGAGGTTTAAAGCTAGAATGAACACTTTTTGACTAAAGAACTGAAAAGGAAACTGTACTGCTGATAATGGCCACTTTTACTAGGCCACAACTCCCGGTATAATAATTGTCCAACATAGATGGCCGGATAGGAGAAGGAGTATTCAGATCTTAATCAAAGAGGGCACAAGAAAAAGTAGACTTCGCTAGGATTAGAAAGTAGGAAGCAAGACATACAATGTACAAAGACTATACCTGGTGATGTGTTCGTAGCAATATTTTGCAATTAGAATGAATTTCTTGAACATGAGAAAGTGCCTTGAAGAAATTCTCATTTAAGTCTTCTTCCCTCAGAGCAGTTATCTACAATGATTTTCACAAAATAAGAAAAATTAAAAACCACAAAGAACATTCTGAGTTGAAAAGGTAAGGCCATTGAATAATCTGTAGGAAGAAGCTCCAAGGTTCAGATTTAAGACCTCTTCACTAGAAAGCTGATAGTCACGAAGGAAGCATGAGACGATCTCTTGCCTTTGTGTGGTAACTTCAAGATCCTGTTTCAACCTCTCAGTGGTGCTGATAATATCAGCTGTGCTTGCACTACAGCTGTTCAATGCCTTACCAATCCTGAGATACACAAAAACTCAAAGCTCGCTGAGTTCATAAAAGACTTGGACGTAACAAATCTCAGGACACTACACATTGGATTTTTCAGAAGTACTAAATTCTCCAGTTCATATAGATTAAATTCAGAATTTGGTTCGACTTAGTTCAACTCGATCCCAAGCTACATTATCTGAAATTACCACGAGAACGGTCCTGCGTTTCAAATTACTCAAAACCTGTGATCATTCCCGACCCTAAACTAATTCAAGCCTGATTCCAAGATTCAACCCCAACGTGTTTTGAAGTAAATCGAATTCGGCAGCAAAGAATTCCATCAAGCCGGAGTTACAAAGATATTTCAGAAAAACAGTGCCATACCTATCACAGCATTCAGCAAGAGCATCAACCTCCTGCTCCACTTGATCCAAAGCCTGAATCGAAACAAATGCCAAGAAATGAGAGCGGCAAGCAGAGCACGCGCACAGGGGAGAATTTAATATAAGCGACACAGGCAAAACCTTCTGGGCGGAGTTGGAAGCCTGGAGGAAATCGAGGTTGATCTGAAGAGAGCGCTTCTCAATGGTGGATCTAAGGTTCCGGCGAGCCTGGGGCGTGTTGTCGGAGTAGAAATTGGAGAGAGTAGAGAGAGAAGACACCAGATCGGGAGTGTCCGTACGGCACTCCAGCACCTTCTTCAGCTTCCTAGATAGCCCTGGAGCCAGTCCTTGCTGCGCCATCGTCCCCATTTCTTCCTCGTCCCCACGGTCACTGAGTTTTATCTCCCGAAGAACGGCAAACCGTACGGTGGAAGGCAGCGGCAGCCAAATAATGAATTTATCAACGAAGCCATTGCACTTTGGACTGGGCTTCCAGTTTCGCCGATAAATCTAATGAGCTGCTATATGAGCATTGGGCTTGTTCTCTGTACTCTTGGGCCGGCCCTTAAGTGGAATTGGGCTTCCGGGGCGATCCGGTCTCGCCAAAAATCCCCAAGCCCTGGCAAGTTAACAACCTCTAGTTCGCCGCCAAAACACCAAAATCCGGCAAAACCAAAATTCCTCTCGATTCCGATGGCGGAAGAAGAAGATAGCCCGGCAGAAGGCTTTCAATGCGGTTGCGGCGGCGACGCCTTCGCTGACAGCGGATACTATTTCTGCAGAGTCTGTAATTCTCGAGTCGAAGGCATCACTCAGACTGACGACGCCGACGAGGGCTTGGTCAATAAAGACGGAGGTGGTGGCGGCCTCTACAATCATCACTCCAAACGGCGTCGGCTGTCCGCCCGTAGTAAGAGAAACATGGTCAATATCTCTTCTCTAGTCTGGCGCCGATTTATGGACGAGGAATGTAGCGAGGAGATCACAGCCAAGAAAGAGCCACATGAGGCAATAAAGACAAAGGAATTCTCCTACGACGATTACATCAACGAGGTGCGGTGTAGGTATGTGAGTGGGATACAGTGGATGATTCAGTTGCAGTGTGAGGCTTTAGTTGGGAATTTCAACGCCAGCCCTTTGATCTGTGGGGTGGCTTCTGCTGTTTGGTTGAGGTTTTTGGTTACCACTGAAGTCTTCCAAGATACGTGGGCTGATGAGACTCTGACGAAGTCCGAGTCTCCAGAGCAAGTAGGTAAGAAACCATGTATGATGGGTTTTCAAAATTTGTTCAATCTTTTTTTCTTATTGAACGGAGAATTGAAGCTAGCTAGGTTGTAGCTTGTTCATAGTAGTTTGCTGTAAAGCTTCGGTTTTTTGGGGTATTTCAAGCTGGTAGCGGCCTCATGTTACTTGCATTGCCTTGTTTTGCTTGAATTTCCATGCTTATCCCTCAATGTTGTTTTGCAGGAGAACCTGATCACAGTAATGTTCATCATGATGATGGGGATGAACCATATAATGCAATTACTTTGTCTTGCTAGAATTTCGATGCTTATCCCTAAGTGATGTTTTGCAGGAGAACCTACTCGTCGTAATGTTCATCATGATGAACCATGTAATGCAAGTGGCCAGCGCGCTGTAATGGTTTGGTTTAGGAGATTGAGAGAAGTAATACCACTGGATCACACTTTGGCTATATCTTTTCTGGCTTGCCATGTCGCAAGAGAGGCAATCTTACCAACAGATATAGTGAAGTGGTCAGTGGAAGGGAAACTTCCTTATTTCGGTGCTCATGTTGAGATCGTGAAGCGATTCAATCAACCCTCGCTCGCCTGTCCTATTAGTCCAGCCCTGATGTTTAGGCCTTCTCAGCCAATTCCAGTCCAGAAGTTGGAAGCAATGGCTGCCAGGATTGCCAAGAGAATAGGGTTGAATCTGCCTCCCGTGAACTTCTATGCAGTAGCATCTCGCTATCTCGATCAATTGTCTGTTCCCAGGGAAAAGATTCTGCCACATGCTTGCCGCATCTATGAGTGGTCAATGCCTCCAGATTTATGGTTATCGACGAATGAGTTGAGGATTCCCACTCGTGTCTGTGCGATGGCTATATTGGTTGTATCCATACGAATTCTCTACAACATTAATGGTTTTGGTGCATGGGAAAGGAGCTTATGCTTATCGAAAGGTTCAAGTGAAATTTTTACCAAGAGTGAAGGTGTTCAGACATCTGGTTTTGACTCCGAAGAACTCTTGCAAAACCTTGAGGCAGAGTACAATGAGATTGAAAAACCATGTGGTAACCATTTTTTTGCATTTGTTGAGTGTGTAACTTTCTATTATCATGGAAAGTGGTTCCATCTTCTTGTGCTTTTTGCCTGCAGAATTTACAAAAGACATGACATCATATCTCCGGTACTGCAAGGACGTGGTATTTGCAGGAGCCTGGTCATCTTCCCACAGCGATCAGTTGGAGATAGAAGAACTGAATGAGAAGTTGTGGGATTCTTATCAGAATGCAGAGGAAGACCTTGGAACGCAAGGCAACACATTTAACCCGAAAAGATCACGAAGTGATGATGCCAGTGATGTCTCAACTCAGTCAGCTACTCGGTCAGCAAAAAGGCAATTCAGGGAGATGGGTCATGAGAGAGCACTGCAGGATCGTAAGAATGGCAACCCTTCCAAAGAAGCGGCTGTCAGAAAACTGAAGTCCGAAATGGAGGATGATCGGTTCTGCTACATCCCACCAAGGATTAACGTTAAGGGATCCGGTTACCTTCAGTACACGAGAAAACAGGATGAGGGTGTTTTGCGATACGTTGCACATGCAGATTACTACATTTTGCTGCGTTCTTGTGCCAAAGTTGCAGGCGTTGATGTTAGGATCATGCACATTGCGGTGTTGGGTTTGGAGAGAAGGTTGGCTTGGTTGGAGAAAAGGGTTGATCATTGCTTGCATTTGACGCCTCCTAGTATTAGCTGTGACTTCTGTAGGGGTGATACAGCAAGCCACTAATCCAAGAAATGCATGAATTTTAGGTCACTATTTGATCTCCATATTTCTCCGAAATGTTATATTTTTTATGATGAGTTGCTAAACAAAAATGTAGAGCATAAACCGCTTGTTTATAGAAAACTAATGAATCGTTTCTTAAAAGTCCTATTTTTGCTCACCATCAAGATAAAATAAAAACTACTTCATTAGTGGGAATCTACTGCACCAAAGGCTGACACCCTATTTTACATTATCACAAACACTAAAAACCCATTCTACCCACTCAATAACTTTACAACACAATTTCAAGATCCATAATCATTTCAAATATGAGCACAATGGTGGATTAAGGATCCAACACTTGCCTCCCGCTTAACTAATACTAGCATTGGGCCCGGCCCGTTGGCCGGTGTCGTATAAAATCTATCTGTGAGTTTTGTTTTATTCTATTTGAAAAGTAGTAGAATCTGTAGCTAATGGTTATGCTTAACAAAATCTTTATCTTATGGTTATTAAAAAAATCTTTAGCTTATGAGATTCTATTTAATTGGAACAACACAAATAACATCTATATAAGAGCATTATCACGTGACATAAACATCCATTCTGGTTGTCCAATTGATGAAACATAATAGTAACCAACAAATACTTATTTGAAAAGAATCATGTATCAAGTATTATATATTGCAATGATTCTTCACAATACAACGATGATTTAACATACGCAACTTTCAAACGACCCCTAAATGATAGAATTACACAAAAGTCTAATCCTCCAAATTTATAAGCAAATAGCCAATGCCTCAACAGGCAAGAAAGACGGAAAATATCAGCAATCATATCGTATTAAAAAGACAACAAAACTATGTAAGTGGCTTTTCATTCATAAAAAAACATAGCTACATTCAGACTTGCTAACCTTGAGATTGGTTTGGTAATTATGAACCAAACTTGAGAAACAAAAAAGACCATACATAAGGGTAAAACTATCCAACATATGAGAAAATAATTGAAGGCAAAACCCCGCATTGTATTCCACAAATGAAACTGAAAGACAATCCATGAGGAAAAAAACTCGAAACAAAGTTCCAATATCAATCTCAATGAAAACATAATACTAAACATCACCTAAATGAAAACAAAATACTAAACAGAAGCTTCACATTGTGGTCATTAACTACACAAAGTTTTCAGCAATACTATGTTGCTGGTGGCATCACTTCAAACGATTGGCTTGGGGAGCTTCTCATTTTTTGTTATCGCCTCATCTAATTCCCTCATTGAGATGTTAAATACTTGACATCATGCATTTTTTATACATGTAACTTAAGTGAGAGTTGTAGCCTGTAGAAGAGGAAAAAGGTAATGGAGTTAGTAAGATAAATGTAGCCCACAACACATTGGTTTCCGACAATTGTTATATGAGGGCACATAGCTAAGTACTTGAGCTAGGAATATTTCTATTTTTATAATGGTGGTGTGATTTTATTAAACAAATAAACAGTTATAAGAGACTGAACACAACAAAGACAGTTCCATCTCTATTTAGAAAGACTACTACCATAATGCACATCTTCAAAAGGAACAGCAGGGGTGTATACACTCCATTCCAATCCAATCTGCAGACTCCATATTAAAACTCAATGAAGCAAAGGACCAATATCAAACCTCATCACATCCATTTCTGGCACTCTCGTACCACTATAATACCATTACCATTTACCAACATCATACCACTATGCTAAAATTGATAGCACCCGCGTACCTCTATAATACCACGATATTATCACTACAGTAATATCATGATATGCTATCTTCTTGTATAGCAATTTTTTTTATTATCTTTCTATGCAAATACTTTTGAAATTCGATGTAAAACAAATGAAACATGGTCCGTTGGAATTTTGTAGGAATTTGAAAAGTGTTTAACAACACGTCTGAAAATTCGTGTCGGCAAAAAAAATATCTGATCAGTTACCCCCCGAAATCTTTTATTTCCTTCCTTACCCTTCTATGATATGAACTATTTAATGTCTCATTTCCTAATTACAACCGTTCAATATAGTTTTGTAGATCTATATATACATAAAGAATTTTCTATTGGTACCTAAGTCATTATTATTATTATTATTATTATTATTATTATTATTATTATTATTATTATTATTATCTATTAAGGTCCCAGCTTTTTAAAAAGAAAGTCTTAGTTCAATAATATACGATAAAATTTTATCTCAAAGAAGAGATTAGGGGACTTTTAACATTTGAAAATTTAGGATAGGATAAGAATGATTCTTTGAATATAAGAGCATAATAAATGAAAAAAGGAAGTCAACAAAAAATAATTGACAAAAATAATAGAATTTACTGTCCAGGCGGCTTCAAAAGATTTAATTTCCACAAATAGCGTAAGAAGTTGGTTAGTGAGCGTGGGCTTGCAGAAAATGAATAAGACTTTGTGGGTTGGTAGAAAGTAGAAACTAAAATGTAAAAAGGAAGTAACAGCATCAGCGGACGGTTTTAAGAGAAATGGTAGAGATGAGAAGACGAATTAATCCCTCCTAGTTATGCGGTATAAACAGCACGGGCTGATGTGGCAATAATCTTATATTGACATTGCCTTATATGTTTTTGTAGATAACAGATCGGAGAACCACTACAACACACTGTAATCCAGCCAATAAACAATCAACTCCTATTGTACTTGTAAGAAGTGAAAACAGAGAAGAAAAAAAACAGGGGCACGAGCTGAGTTGTCGAGAAGTGTTTGTTTGTATCATATCATGCTCTATGGTTAATCGGAATTGAACAGCAAAAGGTTGGCTCTCACAATATGAATGTGTTTTCTATTCACCCAAGTCGCTTCTATAAGTTCTAAGGGCACAATCATGTTGGCATCATCGAGTGTGCAAGTGCAAGTGCAAGTGCAACATCTCAATCTTTAAAAAGTAGAACTGAAAGATTTGGGATGCGCATGCTTTCCTCCAATGCAACTAAGCCATTTCCAACTTCCCCCACAATCATTTCAATGATGATTCTCTGTTTTCTGTTCAAGTACCGGATGTTGATCGGTTTACTAACCGTTCTTTGAATCTTGAATTTTTATTGAGATGTCTCTTACTCGAATTTTCATGATTCCTCTCTATTCATGGTTGACTGAAACATAAGGTATGACGAACTTATATAAACTTCAAATTTATTGGTTGGCTTGTTACAAAGAAAGAGTAATTGATCAAAATGGTCACATAAATTTGACTATGACAACGCCAAAACTTAGAGCAAGAAGGCTATAAGAATAACGTTCCATTATTGAATCTAAACCTTGGAGAAGGGTGTTGATAGTCCCCATATCCAATCCATTTAATCCAAGATGCAATTAATTTGTGGATTCATGGATTGTTGAAAAATTATAGTTTAGTACCTGCATATTTTATAATTTCAATTTGATACCTAAACTTCGATTTTAGGGGAAAATTTCCTTTAAAATGCATTTTTGGTATCTAAATGTTTTATAATAACATTTTAGTACCTGAACTTTTTAAAATTTTCATACTAGTCCAACATTTAGATGTCATTTGGATCAATAAATCCAATAAATAAATCTACTAATACATTTATTTCATAAATCCACCGATACAATTTATTATTCTTCCAGCCATTTAATTGGATATTTGTTGATATTATCGGAGGATAACAACATTATTGGTAATGGATTAACACTTCTTCCACCAGCTGTGGGTGGGATATAAATGTATTGTGAGTAAATGCAAAGTAGATTGGAGAGATCAGATCGACGTCCACAGTAATTTTGTTGGTGACTGATGCGTAGTGCTTACATTATTCTTCAAGCTAATGATTGGGCCAATAATTACAATTAATGAATGTTGAAACAATAATTACTATACAATTATGATGAATCCTTTAAAGCCTATTTAATTATTTATTTCCTTGCCTTTTTTTTATTTCTTTGGCTTTTTACTTTTTAGATATCAAAATTAACAAGATTTTAGGGCATGATATCATAACCTAACCGTTAACGAGCGAACCCTAGATTCTAACTTTTGAATCATACATAAATCATAAACTCTAAGATGGTCCCTTAAAAAAAGAATACCCTGCAAAAATAAACTCTAAGATAGTGCATGTATTTCGACGAATCATTATTATTGATTACTATTTTTAATTAAATTGATCTTTGTGTCTAAGACCAAGATTTTAATTTTTAAGAATTATGATATATTATCATGTCCCGAAATTCGATCAATTCAAGATCTAGATAGTTTTTTTTACTTCGAATATGCAAGTCATGATGAAATAAGGGATATCTCGTAAAATTCGCCAAAAAATTAAGATAGCCCACTAATAACTTACGTACACATTCGTTTTAATGAATATCAATTTGCTTTAATGACCTGATCCTACTCTGCATACAGCAAACTTTGATTTTCTAGATAAAAAGAAAATATAAGAATCAATAAAGTCTGTTGAAAGGAAGCAAACGAAAAGATAAAAAGGGGAAGCAATAGCATAGGTAGAAGCTTATAATATTCGAAAGGGTAGAAAGAAAGAAGACCATCAATTCCTGAGATGTAACAAAAGCCGATTAAAGGTTATTTTTGTGGTGGAAAAAAATCGGTTAAAAGTATATAAAATTATTGCACAAGTGAGGAATATAAAGGATAGAAAGCTACAGATTCCAAATGATAATATATAAAAGTAACAAAAAATTATTGTACTTGAAAATGAGAGGTCGGTAATTTTAATGGTTTTTTACATGCTATTGAAGGATTTCTGTTGATAAAAGAGGAAATTGATTTGTGATTCAAACTTAAAATTTTCAAATTGAAAATCAACGATAATACTGTTCGATCAACGGATCAAATACTTTTCTGGCTTCTAATAATAATAATATTATTTTTGAAATTTCAGCATCTTATCTAAAATAATTTTGATTTACTTACATGCCGTTAAGAAAACAGTATAAGAAGAAAAAAAATGCTAATATAGTATATAATATACATATTTGTCCAGAGAAAAGAAAGGGTCGTGCTGAGTGGGCGAGTGGGCCCAATAAGGAATGGGCCTCTCCAACTATATGATTTGGTAGAGATAAATTGGGTGTAAACATAATCTATTTTTACCTTTTCAGACCGCACAAACTGTCGGG